AGACCGGACGGATGCCCAGAATATACCGAATTTATGGAGGGAATACTTCTTGAGCCTGCTGTGTAGTAGTGAAAATGCAGAATCCGGAGGTGGTGAACCCGAAACCCCAATCGATGACGATGAAAAAGACATTTCGCTACCTGACCATATCGAAGTTCAACAAGCGATTGCCCTTTTAAAAAAGCAACAAAGCGAAAGGGGCAGACGGCCTACAAGCAGAGCTATTCAAACATGGGGGCGAAGGCCGGATCAGGTGCATGCATCAGCTTGTTTGTAAAATATGGTCCGATGAAAACATGCCAGACGATTGGAACCTGTCCAAATCCACAAAAAAGCCTCCTTAACACCGCATATAGGATCCTATCGAGCGTTTTGTATGAAAGACTAAAGCCCAACGTAACCAAACAGATTGGCTTTAGACCTGGTAAGCCAACCATTGACTAGATATTCACAATGCGCCAAATCTTGGAAAATACCAGTGATAAGAGGATCGACACACACCACCTCTTCGTCTTCTATCAAGTGGCCAGCATTAACACAAATAATAATGTTAGTCTTGAAATCCAACGCAAAATGACTCTTGCAAACAGGTGCTACTTTTGACAGAGTAGATAATTGAAGAGTAAAGTCCTCTCTCGGCGAACGAAAACCAAACTCTACAAGTCTCCATTGGTAACGACAAATATCGCAGACGATGGTACTATGAGCTTTACGAGCTGTACGATGATATTGGCATCGTTCAGCGAATGAAGAGAAAGGGCTTCGCTGGCTAGGTCATTTCGAACGAATGCATGAAAGCGCTCCATCTTTGAATGTATCCGATGCAGTACCCATCGGTGGAAGCAGAGGAAGAGGAAGACCTGCACTCCGGTACTTCTAATTGGCGCCAAACAGCGCAAAAAAGGGATAATGAATATTAATTCGGCTATAATCGGGTAAGCGGTGCCAACGCCAATAAAGAAGAAGAAATCACTGTCTTTCTCGATAAATTTTTTTCATTTTGAAGATCATGTCAATATGCCTCTCTTATACCAGCCCTTATCTCCATAGGCAACAGATTTTAAGAATCGATTTACACAGGCTTCTCTTGAGGCCATCCAAATTTTTTTGCAATATAAAGGAACAGTCAGTGAATATTCCCCTGATGTAGGATCTTGTGATTTCTAGTTATTTCAAAAAATTAAAAAGAATTTAAAAGGAATGATCTTTAAAGAAACGAGGAGATAATTAATACGGTTAATGCTGAACTTGAAAAGCTTCAAAAGCTAGATTTTGAGAACTGTTTTCAGAAGTGGATTCTATATTGAAATCAATGGCGATTATGTAGAGAAGATAAAATGAGACAAAATTTACGAATAAATACAAAAAGATTTTTATTTTTTCTTGTCAGTTTACCGAACTTTTGTACCCCCCCTAAATTAAGAATGGTTATGTAGTGTTTTATGGCATCTTCGTCTTCTATGTTCCTGCACTTGCCACAAACACTCAATTCTTTCGTGTGAACCCAAAATAATAGAATATCGCTCTGCAATTTTGCAGACGTTTGCAACGTTGTACGTGTGTATAATGAAACTACGGTTGTGATGGATATCCTTTTATATAGCTCATTGACCACACTTTCTGGAATATCGCAATCTTCCGGACACCGAAACCCCACACGTTTACCGTCTGGACGATATTTTGTATAGATTTCCCTGAATTTTATTGCCGCCATTGACATCGGTCGTTTCGCTGAAGGACTTAGCTCTTAGACCAGTTTAGGACTGCTTTCTTTGTTACAGTTAGATCTATTTGGGTAACGCTGTGGTGGTCGTATTGTTTCTTGCTTCTCTATCGCACTCGTTCATTCTGCCATCAAGTTCAATAGCTCTTCTTTAGACATTTTGTAATAAAAAAATGTTATCAAAACAGAAATTCGTTGCTATACTAGCTCCTCCGAAGTCAGCGCAGAGTTTAGTATAGGGTGATAATATCTGTTGGGATTTTTCGAGCATACACTCAATTCACCCTAAAGTTATTCTTTAGTATAAGATCGATCGAACATATTTCAGGATCATTCTCGGCATACTTTTGTATTAACCAAACATATCTGAAATAAATAGTAATCCCGAAAGAATGCTGCAAATATTATTTTTTTTTTAGAGTTTGAGATGTTTATGAAGGAAAAGCCATGCACTAGATCCCTATTTTTTTCTCTAAACCCTACTTGACAGCCAATACATAAGTGTTTTCATTTTAATGGACAACATGACCAAGACTCAGATTCAAATTCTGATACGAGCAACATCCAAAAGTTATAGAAAATTAAATTGAATATAACTGTGAGCAAAAAGTCGCGTTTAACATTTTGTGTTAATTCTTTTTTTTAATGTTGGTAGCACTATTATTAATATGAAGTGCGATCAAATTTTGTTTGTGGACTGAATTTTGAGCTTCTGAAACGTTGAGGATGCTACAGAAAGCCTTTGGGGACTCAATTATGACGCACTAGAAAGTGTATAAGTGGTAAAAATACTTCAAAGAATATCGTGCTAAAGGTGCAAAACCGAAAAAATCAAGTTAAACTCGCTCAAAAATCAAAGTCATTTTGAATGTTTTCTTCGATTTTTGTGATGTCGCGCATTATGACTTCTTTCCGCCTGGTCAAACGGTATCATTTTGGCGTTATGCATTGATTGCTTGCAGCACTTATTATTCGTAACCATTTGGCTAAAAATTCCACGAATATCGTTCCCCAACCACCGTATTCGCCAGACTTTGCACCATGTGAATTCTGGCTTTTCCAAAAACTCAAGATACCACTTCGAGAACACGATTTTGAGTCGATTGATGAGATTAAACGAGAACCGGCGCGCTCTCTGAAGGCCAACGTCTACTAATACGATAAGATTAATAAATTGATATTATTCGAAAACACGCACTATAAATCAGGACTGGAATGATGAGCGACTGCTTGAAAAATCGACGAAGAAGCTATGTCTATATACTCTTTTTTAAGGAGTCTTCTTCAATATTTGGCTTATGGTAAAGGTCATATTAATGGTGGTTTGAAAAATTGATAGCGAGATATCTTGAAAGTTTGAATTTTTTTAGCATCCAACACTTTGTTGTTGTTTTCTGGATATCGGACAGCTGGTCGCTTTTTTGGCTTTTATTACGACTTGGCTCAAAAACTGACAAAATGTTTACATCAAACCTGAGTCCTTCATTATTCCGTGCTGGAACAAAGGCATATTATGCTTTCAAGTTTCGGCCGACACATTCGAAAAATTTTTTATTTACGAAAGAATTTGATAAAATTTGAAATGTATAATAGGAGCTATCCATAAATCAAGTAGGCATAATTTTTAGAATTTTTTAACTTCGTCACCTATGCTAGGCATTAGATAATTTTAAACTGTTAGCCGCTACCCTAAAATCGTAAGTAAGATATACAAGAATCTTAAGCTTCAATTAAGTTATAGGATTTTAAATTCAAATTTGTCTCCCCTAAGTTGGCATTCCTAAAAATTCAACTTCCTCCCTTTTAAGTGTTAACGTAATATAAGGAGATTCCCTTATGAGTAAAATGGTCGTACAAAAGAAGTTGACATTACAAAAGGAGTGTTGATTAATTGGAGTTTATGGTCCGATGTATGAAATTTATGATCGCCGCCTAAGCTCATGGTGCTGAGCATTTATGGGAATGTCATCCTGTAAGTTTCGATTTCATTTAATAATTTCACATCGCACCGTTTTTGAGTGCTTTGCGTTATATTAGGAAATACACACATATTAGCTGTTTATTGGTATAATCACAACATTATCTGACCACATAAGCTACCATTGGTCAACAAATTTCAGTTAATTATAACAAAACAGAAAAGAGACGCAAACAGCGGGAAATGACTTTGTTTACCAGTGGAATAATTTGGTAATATATTAATTTATGATTTGCATTTTATAATTGCCTAAATCGAGGAAACCAAATTCATATTCCAAACGCACTATACACTCCGCCACAAAAACGTACATAAATAAACAACAAATGCGAAATAGAAAAACTCATTATAGTAAATGTAATTACCCAAGCTAAATAGCAGCAGTGGATACACACACATATATATGCGTTTATTAGATTTGCATTTTGCTTCGTATTATACCTATAATATTATCATTTATATTATTAATATATTAACTCGAATTATATACGCACACATATGTATATAAATAAATAAAGCTTTTAACCATGCACATTACACAACAAATTTGAATATACAAAAATATAGAAAATTGCTGCTGTGATCCTTTCAAATACTACTTAACAAATGAAATACTCGTATACTCTGCAGGGAAAAATGGTATTTGTTAACTAAAATCCAACTAGTTTACACCAACTGGGTCATCTGCCGTCACTTCTACATGTAAACAGCTGTCATTGCCATACTGGTAGTTTAACACCAACATCATTTTAAGGTTAAAAATTTGGTAATATTTATATGTTTGTACGATCAAGATACATTCAAATAAAATAAAAAGTTAAAATTTCAAATTGTGGTCGCCCCTGTGCAGGGGATATAAAACTCTCCAAGGGCATTTCTAAATAAAAATATAGGCTCATCATAAAAAACCATTATCCATTCAGAGGTGGCTTAGTATAAACTGTAGGTCCCTCCATTTGTTGGAAAAACATCAAGACGCAAATCCACAAATCGGATGATGAGCTGGGTCGAAATCGTTTCAGCGGTTAGAAAGCGTCTATAATATATATATAAACATATATATAAAATATTATGGAAAGGCATATAATGTCTATATTTGTGAAATTTGCTACATTATTACTTTCCACGAAGTGCACCAGATATCGATCTATATATTTGAAGCTTAATAAGCCCCTTCAACATTCTTCACAATTGGACAAAATATAAAAATCACATATATAAATATATATATATATATATGTGATTTTTCTGTTGTTGTTGTAACAGCAACTCAGAAAATGTGTGGTTGGATCTCCTAGTTCGTAATGAATTCTGCTTTTTTTCTGCAAAACTACAAACTGGTATAAATTTTTCCACAAAATACTAGTTTATTTACTGGAATTTTCGCGTACTACCGATTTTCTACCGAAAGATATGGCAAACTAGTATTTCATCTTTAAAATACTTGTATTTAAGTAAAATGTTTGCATACAAGTCTACCTTTTCCCTGCAGGGTATATATAGATCCTTTATATATGATTACATACAACTAAATACGCTTACATTACATGCACTACAGCATTACATAAATATGAAATGATTAAGTGGTAAAAGGTAAAACTAACGGTATTTAAGGTCGAGCGACCAAATCAAAATGAAATTATCGTTGTTGTTGTTATACGAGTACATATGGCAAACATCACCAAGGACGCCAAACAAGGCCGTCGCCTGCTACAAAATCACCATCGCCATAATCAGCGGCATCACCATCGTCACTGCTACCGCCGCCACTGCCTGACGCAGATTCACCGCTCGCCACATTGCCGTGATTATGTAATGTTTTGCGAGCGTAGGGATGCATACGGTGCTTGCCGTTCGCCGCCGCTCGAGCTGCTGCCTCCCAAATGCGTTCAAAGCTGGAGACCGTTGATGCAGAGACTTGCATTTGTTGTTGTTGAGCATTAGATGAGGACACTGATGCCGCAGCTAGTGCTGTTGGTATAGGTGTGGGTGCAAGCATGTCTGCCGCCAATTTGCCAATCCCTGCCACTCCTGCTGCTGGTTGATGGTGCTGCCGCAGCGCTGTGCAAAATCTTTGGTAATGCGCATTTATATTATTAGTCATATTGTCACAGGTAACTCCATTGCCCGCCGCTGTTATTTGCATTGCCACTGCTGACTGCGGTATGTGTGCGGTTGGTATTTGAGTGGCTGCTGTTGCTGTTGCTGCAGCTGTTGGATTAGCATGCGCGGCTGCCGTAGCCACCGCTGCTGCCATATTTGGCACATAATTCGCAATATATTTAATTAAATCACCATTCATATGTTTATTTGGTTGATTGTATTTTTGTAGAAAATGTGATACTTCCACAGCGCAATGCTGGAATCCAGCCCAGAACTTTTCCATATTCATAGTGTCGGTATGACGTACGAAGAGGCCATTTGTTTCGCGTAGGCGATGTAGATGGCGTACGGTTAGTTCGAGTATGTCGGCCTTTTCCAACTTGGAGAGATTTTCGCCGTCCTGTAAGAAAAAATTAATAAGAAATAATAATTAAGCAAGGCGTAGGGATTTAAAAGAAGTAACTTAAAAATACTCCTTATGAAATAATAAGTATGAAAAAGCCGTGTTGAGAACAGGGAGCACCAGTACATGTGATTGGCGCAGTCCACTAGAAAGAGGTCACGATCAGATTTTAGCTTTACCCTGCTCAAATCGGCCATTGAAGTCTCCACAGATGTTAACATCACTAAAGTACAGAAGATGGTGGTCACTGAACTTTTTGCGTCTCACAAATCTATTAAGCGAAAGTTCGCTGAAGATCTGTTGGTATGCGTCAGTTTTGACAGCTCAGTGTAATAAGCAAATCAGTCAGCAAACTTCGAAATGGCTTCCTTGAAAGCCATTCTTCTTCTGCTTTATTGACATTGGCACCACTTACGTGATTATAGCCGAATCAATCTCAACGCGCCATTCTTCTCTTCTTTTCGCTGCTTGGCGCAAGTTGGAAATACAAAGTGAGGCCAGATCACTCTCCACCTGATCCTTCTAACAGAGTGGAGGTCTTCCTCTTCCTCAGCTTCCGCCAGCGTAGCCGCTATGTCTCCATTCGCGGAACTATGTCAATATCATCGTACATCTCATCGTTCCATCGGCTACGGTATTCGCCGTTGCTAATGCGTAACGGACCATAAATCGGTCGCAAAACTTTTTTCTCGAAGACTCCTAGAGCCGACTCATCAGATATTGACATCGTTTACGTTTCTGCGCCATATAGCAGGACCGGTATGATGAGCGACTTGTAGAGTATGGTTTTCGTTCCACTGAGAGGACTTTAGTCATCAATTGCCTGCCTAGTGAAAAGAAGCACCTGTTGACAAGAGTGATTCTACGTTGGGTTTCAAGGCTGACGTTATTATTGGTGTTAATGCTGGCCCCTAGATAGACGAAATTATGTACGACCTCGAAGTTATAACTGTCAACAGTGACGTGTGACGGTTCACACGTCTCGTATGCGATGACTATTTGTGTGATGACAGGATATATTTTGTCTTGCCCTCGTCTCTACCAGACCCATTCGCTTCGCTTCTTTATCATCAACGTACGTCAGCAGCTGTATACTCTTAAAGAAGATTTTACCTTCTCCATTTAGCTCTGCAGCTCTTATTATTCTCTTCAGCATCGAATTGAAGAATTCACACGACAAAAGTCCTCTGCCTAAAACCTCGTTTGGTACCGAACGGCTCGGAGGGGCCCTTCCCAATTCTGACTGCGCTTCTGTTGTTTTCTAGCGTCAGTTTACACATCCGTATCAAATTCAAACATAGCAACGTAAAGGCAGCTCCTATTCGTGCTGTCGAATATATATTTTTCAATTCAATTTCAAACCACTGTATTCAAATAAATTTGGAATTAGTCACATTAGAACAGGTAATGTACAATGCCCGAGGAAAACCTTTTATATGCATGATGTAGTGATTTTCGGTCGAGCGAATTCGTGGTGAGCCTCGCGATGTTTTCCAAAAAACGGAGTGATCTACAGTTTACGCTAAGGCGCCTCCGAGCAGGCGTTGGATTTTTATGAAGAGAGTTTACTGCTAAGATGCGACCGGAATAAGAGAAATGAATTTGATTTTTTATTTAAATTAAATTTCTATTATATTTGAATGTTGATTATACTCGAACTCTGGTCTTCCGAGTGGCATGCTAACGACTCAGCTAATCATATAAGTGGATATCGAACGATCGAACCTCCTTTAGAGAGCCTGAGAATAATTTACTCTGTACACACGTACAGAACCAAGATGATGGAAATCGTGCTGTTATATCCATATGCGAATATGACTTCCCCTGTTGGGTGTATATAACTTAAAATACGGATATTTTCAAAAATAATTTACAAAATTTAAATAGAGAATATTGTGAACGTTTTTCCAATATATATTGTATTATTTATTAACTTTATATTATTAACTAAAATTAACTATTTCTTACTAAAACTCTTTGTTACTAAATGAGTCTGCTCAGATAGAAAATATTTCAGTTAGACTTTTATGAATTGTGGCTCTTAATCCCGGTTTCTGAACAGATTTGATTCAATTTTGAATCATCTAAGCTTATGCGAGGGTATTAAATGCCAACTTCACTCGTATGTCATCTAGAAATCCTAACATAGTAAGAATCATATTTGAATCATCAAAAAGACTCCAAAAATACGCCGAGATATGGTTTATGGTAAAAGGATATATTCTAAATGCTGGGAAGCGACAACAAAACCTGGTTGCTTTCGAAAAACCAAATTTCTTGAATTATGAAAGATCAAGCGTTAAAATAACAGATCACATAATAAAAAAAATCCAATGGGAAAAAATAGTGCTGTTTCAACAATTTCAGTTTTCAATTTACCTTAAAGGTGTAAATGTGTAAAGCTACTACAGAGATTGAAAAATAGAATCAATTTGAAAAATTTATTACATTGGTTTGAACACATATTGAAGTATAAAAAAATATACTTTAACCATTATTTTATTACAAAATAGCGGCGATAAACTCTAGTGGACTCCATGTTTTTTTGAAAGGCGTCCACAGGTGGACCGATTTCTCTTAAAGAAGGATACCTTGAACAGAAAAGCAAAAAGTTTTATGATCTACAAGCTATGGTCCTGGGAAATATATACTTTTTACTTAAAAAACTGATTTTTTACTAAAAGCACGCACTAAATTATTAAAAAAGTTTACATTTATTCGAAGAACGGCTACGTAATTTCAAAGAAATTTTTTTGTTATGGTAGCTTCCATCATAATTTCTTATAAATTGATGCATCGAGAGTCCGAATAATCTGTACTTGCGACTTGAAAAAAATTATTTTGAGAAAAACGCGTTTAAAGTTGTCATTGTACTCAGCGTACGCTCTGAAGGGCTGCAGCAAAATAAAAAATTCGGCCATTTTATACATTTTCTTTTCACTTTTTGCATATAATTTCTAGGACCCAAAGCTGCCTTAAGAAATTTCCAAATCCCAGATAACGTTAAAATAAATATGAGAAAATTTTAATAATATTTTTTTTCATTATCCATAATTCTAAATTTCCTCTAGGCAAAACTGGAAATTCATCCGAATAATGCCCAGGCTGCAATAGGGTTTACATGAATGAATAATTTTTTGCCTCTATACAATGGGTATATATTTGGAATATATATTATTTAGGAAATTCAATAGTTATATTAATCCACAATAGATATAGAAATTTTCGAAAACTTACTTAAGAAATAATAACAATGAGCGTTAGACGTTTTCCCAATTTATCTCCCGTATATAATATATTCGCTATTTTAACTTTTTTGATCTATTGTTTTCCCAATCAAAAAGTTTCGAATTTACTTGAAACTCACTGAGCCGTGGTTTTCGGAGTCACTGATTACAAATCCAAAATCCATTTTTTTTTTAGAGTTAAAAAAGTGGATCCAAAATGACGGTCATATTTTAAAAACTTATCAAAATCGTTTTTGAAGTAGTAAACATTTTTTCGCTGCGCACCAAAAATGTGTTTTCCAAAAGTAAAATTTAAAATTTTATTACATCTAATTTTGGGGTTATAAGTCCAAGAAATCCTTTATTTACTTAACTTTGTATCCAGCTCTTTGTATAAATATGACTTTTTGAATACTTTTGAATCATAAGGCTCATTCTTATTATTCCAATCACTTAAACTTAGGTGCTCACCGCCTGCAAAGTGCTGGTCATTAAATCCTTTAACTCATCCAGACATTTGTTGATGCGGGCACGACGTTTACGCTCCAACATCGGTTTCATAATTTTTCGATATTGATATGTACGCGAGACAGGCTCCAGCGGTAAACCATGCAACATGAAGTGATGAGGATGATGATTTGGCGCCATTTTCGTGGGATAACTCATGCATAAAAACACTTTGAAACACTTTTCAGATTAAGATAAATAATAAAGACACTGTTAAGCGTTTTTGCAAACAGTCATTAATTTTTCCTTAGGTTTTAAAATAATGTTTAAATATCTATTGATTATTATCTCTAAATGCAGCATGAACTTATTTGGAACATTACTTATTCTTCACAATGCTGCCTACTTAACGCTTTTTCCACTAGAACTTCAATTGCACCAACTTAACTACTGAACGTTGATATCAAAAATGATCGTGAGCGCGCGATAAATTGACTTTTTATTAGAATCACTCATCGTTGTGGCTGTGCGCTCTCACTGGCACTTACGAACGTGCGCACGCTCATTTCCCATTCGCTGACAGCAAATTCGTTGTGGGCTCGTCTGACAACAACGATGACCAATCGTCGCGTGCGCTTGTGCTTTGGAGTTACAACTTCAAGAAAGAGCTCGTGCAGCCAACGCTACCTATCGACACGATCGTGCGCTGCCACTCGCCGCTGATCAGCAGTGATCATGAACGAAGCTTAACTACTATGGTACGCGGAACGCTTGCTAATGGAAGTCGTTCATTCAGTCGTAGTCGTCGTAATTGTCTGTACGATGCGCGGCGCAGTTGAGGCACGAGCACTTGATTATTAGTTACTCTCTGGCATAGCTGGCATACAACTATCCGCTCTAAAACAGTTGTTGGACTGACCAGAAGTGGCAAAGCAAACTGCTTTTTTTCTCAATGACTTGACGGAGTTTAGCGAAGCGCGCAGAGATGAGCAACACAAGGCGGATAAAATTTCATGAATGGAATTCCTTAGCTGCACAATAGTATTTGCACATCGGATGAATGAATTGTACTCACGCTCTGTGGAAGCGAGCAAAGCGGGGCTAGGTGAGGTATATAGCGTGGCAAACTCACACGTTTTGCTTTTATTATTATTGTTTTTCTTTTTATGCTCGCTGTTGGTGGCGTCTAAGTGACGAAGTGTCTGCCTGATGAGGGCCACTGTTGGGCGAATGTGTGGCAAGCAAGACTCGTGGGACTTAGTTGACTCAGCAATGCGTTGCAAGCTTCTATGTGAATGTTGAGCTTAGTGTTTACATATTTACACACAATACATATTTATTTATGGGTTCGCTACTTGTTTGCGACATAAGAATGCCTATTTGTTGTTATTGTTGTTTGTTTACTTCGTTATTCTTACATTCTGCTTTTTTTTGCTTCTCAACTGACTTTGAGTTGTTTATGTTTCGTTGTAATTCCCTTTTGTGCGGCGCGCGTTTTTCTCCCGAACTGCTTTCTAGCACGCTAGTGTATCATCACTTAGTGTGTTTCATTCTGTGAAAGCCTCAATGCCCGTACATTCATACATTCGCAGGCACATCCATATAAGTGTATAAATATAATTGCAATAACAACTAATAAAAATGCTGAATTGCGAATATGAGTGGTGTGTCAGGAGTAGTAACAACAACAGCAGCAAGCAGTCATCAGCATTAGCAGTGCGCTAATCTCGTTATGAATGCCTTTTTTTAATTGAAGAAAAAAGAAAATGATAATGCTATTCGAGAGAAGTACACAATGTTATGGCACAGTAGTTTGGTTAGACATATTTAGTCGTCAAAACCATTAACAGCCGCCAGATATTTACAAAAAAAAAAAGTCTCTAAAAGCCACAAAGCCACCACCTAGCCTAGAGTGAGTGAGTGTAAGACTCACGAATTCCATGGAAAATAACAAGAAAATAAAAAAAAAATTTAACAAAAGATCCAAAATCCATGATTGCAGTCCTAATCATGATGACGAAATGTATCTTCGATACTGGATTTTAGTACAAGAAAATTGCTTAGTGGGAGCAGAAAACTCGCAACCAGGTTATATGATGCCTGGAGATCTGTATCCCCCGGTCTATTAGTTCTAATGGATAACGCTAGATGGCGTTGGCAAGCTCAAAATAAGAGTATCGCTCCTGACATTGTAACAGCCAATCATGCGGAACCTTGCTTTTGTCGAGTTCTTTACAGTAATTTTTGTGCATAAGATGCTCTACATTGTGTAAGGCCAATTGTCAAAAATGTCGATAAACTAATGGAAATCGTTGAGTCTGTCCATCATGCGAGCAATTTTTCTAAGCAAAAGATTCTTTCAGGTTCTTAAGATTACTCAAAAAATAGTTTGGAAAAGGTTGGATGGGTGTCACATGAGTTAACGGGAAAGAACCACATAAACTGAATTTCCATCTGCTAATCGCTGCTGATACGTGACAAAATCGACCCATTTCTGATTCTAATGATAACGGTGCTTAAAAACAGAGCAATGTTGAACAAAAACGGTCTTCAAGCCGGGATTGTCTGTCAGGAATATTTTGCTACTCTATTTTTATGGATTATCAGCAACTAAAAAAAGAGGCAGGAAGGTCAGATGCTTGCCAACAGTATATGACTCAGGATTTGACTAGTGAAAAATTGTGCTAAAGGGCACACATAGTGTTAAATTTTACATATTAAAATTTCAAATCGAAATTTCAAATAGTTTTTGAGTTATAGCAATTTAAAGAGCGGGTCGGCAGCTAGAGAGTCTCATTAGCTACGAGTGAAAATGATCATTTTATCTTTAAACGCGTTTTTCTCGAAACAGCATTTTCCGAATTTGCTGCACTGATTATTCAAAAACAAATGATCCGATCACTATCGAATTTTTTTTACATGTTCTAAAAATAGTTCTCCGCTCAATGACCTATCGATTTTTGATCTGATCAAAAAACCGAATTTCGGCAGGACAAAAACGACCAAATTTTTGGGTAAAATTTGACTTTTTTTTAAAATGCCGCCATATTGTCAATTCATCCACGGAGAAGGCCAGAATCACTGCAGCAGTGAATTACCTTTTTTTCGCGCCTTTTGAGATCGACTATAACTGAAAAAATATTTAATTTTTTTCTTCAAAAATTTCCCTTTTCACTGTCAATAATGGAATGATTTTGATTTTTTCTTATATGTGTACATTATTGTTGCCTTGTAAGCACTGTGGAGATTTTTCGCGAATTTGAAGAGCTTTTATATAATGGCAAAAATACATTCGGAGGGTTGACAATCCCTACCGAGGGGTTGCGGCAATTATAAATTTTTACTTAATTTTTTATGTTTAATTTATTTTGAATGTTAGTCACGTCAGGACCCGAACCTATAACCACATGCATGACAACACTACTGCTAGACCGGCAAATTGACAAATTCTTTTATAGACGGACGTTTTTTTTTCAGTGTTCTTAATAAAGTGTCTGAGAGCCAGCTCGATAGTAGGGAGATAAAGATGGATTTTAAGCTTCCTACCATACGATAAGACCATACGTTTTCGACGAAGTCAAAAGAGGAGCGCATATGATGAGGTACCGATAATAAGTTTAATAAGATCTTAAGATAGTGCATAAGAACGCCACACTCAGTGCTAACTTCGACTTAGGCTTAGAACTCGCATAATTAGCAACAATAGACACGACTGCCTTCCGCGGGTATCGACAGTTGAAAGCGAGATGCATTTGCAGTAAGAAAAATTAAGTGGATTGATGAAATGACCAACTGGAAAAATGCTCGAAATTTAAACCCAAATTAGTTGTCTTTCAGATTTTTTTTCAGCCCGAGCATTCTTCTTGTGTGAACAAGAAAGTGGATTTGTTTACTAACGTTCATAATTCGGAGGAATCACCTCCTATATCTGTATCGATTACGATTATACCATCATCCGGATATGTTGGAATTCGAAAGAATAAAAGCTTACCGAGTTAGCAATTAAAGCATTGTGAGGCAGAACTGACAAGGTGCATGCATCACTTTTCTTTCCGAATGTAGTTGGACAAAAGCATGCATGACGATTAAAACCGTACTAAACTCTGCTTAATCCACAAAACGAGGAAGCTCGCGTTCAGTTACTGTGGTTAGTTCTCCTCAATATCGCATATTGGGTCATGTCTAGCGCGGCAGACTAGATCAATGAACTGATTGGTGCTTATCTATGTCGATCTACCAAATATAATACATAACCGTGGAAAATAATAAAGAGTAATGGCTTGGAAGACTTAGGTTCAAATTCTGCTGTCGTACCAACATCCAAAAAGTTATGGAAAACCTATTCATATAAAAAACTTACCTGCGGTCGCGGTTCGGCAGGGAATCTGAGCCCCTCCTGGTGTATTTCTGACATAAAATAAGGGCTCCAAATAAAAAAAAAACCATCAACCGTTCGGAGGCCGCTTAGTATAAACTGCAGATCCCTTCATTTGTTGGAAAAAACATCAAGATGCAAAACCACAAATTGGAGGAGGAGCCAGGCCGAAAATCGCTTCAGCGGTTACAAAGCGCCAATTATATACAAAGGATCGATATGGATCACCTCTTTAACTATTTTCTCGACAGCTCAAAAGCAGATCTCTCTTCACCGCTATCACCGAAGTTGGTATCTCCGTTAAACAGCCGGTAGAGATCACACTGAATATAGTCATAAGCTCCGTCAAGATTCAGAAGGACCTGCCGTCGTAGATTATTTTCATCTATTCAGGAGCCGTGATCAAAAAGGCCGACAATGGCAGCCTTTAAATAGCGCAGACAATTTGTCTTGCTTACAGGTGTTACTTTGGATCTGGAACAACAGGCAAACTAGTTTAGTCTCTCAACATTTTCATCCTATTATGAGGCGCAGAGGCTTGGAGGGTTTACGAGACCAATATTTCACTGTCGACAGCGAATGAAGTAAAGGTTGATGGATGAGCTGTACGAGACATACGACTAAGCTCTGTGTTCTGAAATAGATAAAAACACTTCAGCTTTGCAAATGTTCGCCGCAGTACTGGCAGGTTGAATCACAGCAGGATGACCATTTTCTGCTGAAAATACCAAACTGAGTCGAACTTGGCTCTACCCTGTTTGCTCCACTGTACCTTTCCTTTTTATACGTGATGTCTTGATTTGTTATTGTAGTGGTGGCGGCGTGCATAAGTACGAGTAAATACGTCAACGACTCCCGTGGGATAGT